TTTTTGTAGGTGATAGTCAGGCATCAACTGTAAGTACATATACAATATTAAGCTTATTACTATGCTTCATTTTATAGTTGAGCCAATCTATGAGTTATATACTGGGACTAATAGTTGTCATTGCTGTACTTGGTGCGTAATAGTTTTATTTTATTTTAATGATTTTTGTCATAGTCATAATTGTACTGATCATCGCCATGGTGGTCATTTACAAGAAGATGAAGACCAAGAAGAATTATCACATTGATATTGATACTGCATCAGTTAATAATCCTGTATATACAGAAACCTATATGATGACTGGCAACAAAGATGCAGAGTTTGATGAAGATGCATATGAAAAAATGAAATAACTTGTGGTTAACGGATCCCTTATCTACTTTTATACATATTGCTATACTTGCATGTAGTTAGTTTGCTGATAAAATGCTGCTGCTATTAAACTATTTTTTGTGTGCTGTCTTTGATGTGTGCTTTAATTTGCTTTTGCTTAGTGCTGAACCAAAATTAGGTCAATAAGTAAATTTACGTGTAGATCTATTGCAAATTTACAAAGAGAAAGTAAAAAGTGTGCATCTCTAAGTGAGCATAATCCATAATGTACATGGCCTGGGTATATTCTCCAAATATGGAAATAGGGGTGTGTCATGTTTAAGTTGTTAACAAAGCAGCAGTCAACAACACGAAAACTGTACCTCTCAGAGTCTCATGGCAAAGGCTAGCGCTAAGTCAGCCATCAGGAACAATCTAAGCATCCTTACCAATGGGATATCAGCTCAACCCGCTGTCTTCAGTGAGGTCGTTAACGGTTGTGGTGAGAAAAAGTTAATTACACCAAAACAAGCTAAAGAATATGTTGACAATAGTGCTGGGAAGGAAATAAGTACCAGAGCTGGTAACCTGGTTCATAGCATAATGGCTGTTACTGATGTCATTCCTGAAAGTTTGGACACTTTTCTATGTATTTTGTATGACAGTGATGATCTATTGTTAAGAAAAGTAGCAAGCAAGATTGCTAATGACTGTAAGTAACTCCTTTAAATGCTACAATATGAATATGTATCATATTCATAGCATAACACAAGAATGGGATATTGTGTTACATTATAATAATGCAGTGTATTGTAAATTAACCTTCAATTACGGTATAGCAGAGGGAGTTGAATTTGGCAGATTGCTAAAATTTGGGTGATTAGCAAATTTTAATTTGGCAAATTTGTGGCCACGTGCCATAGAACATGTGCACAATGGCTCAAAATGGTGTATTTTTATTTTGGTGAATGGCTATCAAAACACCAAATTTGTCAAATTTAGCTGCCTCTGAAATTTTTTACTATACGGTAGCCTGATGAATCACTAAATTTTCACATGCCCACCCAAAAATAAATTTACTTTTGTCATGCTGTACTGTATTAAATTGATTTTTTTATTTCATAAATCTTAAAAAATTAGAAAAAAAATTTTAAGAAATTTTGGGCCATGACATTTAGCCATACTTATTTGTAGATGGTCGTGATCTACCTCAGTATAATGCCAGACTTGACAGTGACATCAATGAGGACATCCCAGCAAATACTCGTGTTTCTAGTTCTAACTCCCTTCCTTCTCCTTCTCCTCCTCGCAAACCATCAAATCACTTCTCTAATTTAATGAAGCCTCTTGTATTTCTAGCTATTGCAGTTGCTGTCTTTGCAGCTTGTTATAATTTATACAGTTCTGGTAAAGGGCCTGAAAACACCTTCATAAAACCACCAGTGGTGGAAGAGAAATTGGACAATGGTGATGTTCCGTTCCAGCACACTGAAACTCCACCTAATAATGATCCATTACCTCCTCCATCATCAGGTTTTTCTTTATCTTATTACATTTTCATTTTACAGATATTTGTATCTAGCTGGTAAAGAGACCATACCAGTGGTCAAGAAGAATTTGGACGATGCTGACGTTCCATCCCAAAACACTAATAATGGTCCATTGCCTCCTTCATCGTTAGGTATTCTTTTAACTATTATCTTATTATATTTTTATTTTACAGTTATTTGTATCTAGCTGGTAAAGGATCTAAAAAGACTATACCAGTGGTTGAAGAGAAGTTGGACAATACTGACGTTCCATCCCAACACACTGATACTCAGCATAATAATGATCCACTACCTCCTTCATCATCAGGTATTCCTTTAACTATAATCTTATTATATTTTCATTTTATTTATAGACAAAGAACCACTGAAGTTGCGTGATTTATATAGTGTCATAAGATCATTAAAAAATAATGATTATGATGTTAGTACATGGAGTGGCTTGTGTCTTGCACTTGGTCTGTCTCAATCAACAATAAATACCATTAAAAAAGATGAAATGGATTCAAATGATCGTTTTAGATCATGTTTGTATCAATGGTTGAACCGAGTTGATCAAGTTGATGAGTTTGGAGGAGCAACATGGGCTTCACTGGTGACAGCTCTTGAGAACATTGGCCAGAAGCCAGTTGCTGAAAGTAAGTGACAAAATTTATTTTTTATATTTCTTTTTAATTTCTTAATAGAACTGAAAGAAAGAACAAAGTAGTACATTTTAAATTTTTGCAGACCATGCAATATTTTGTTTACTTAAACTTGTAATGGTCAGTTGTCAATATTTAAGGCGGTGCTACCCACGTGTAGTCACATGTCAATATTTAAGGCGGTGCTTCCCGCCCATAATAAAATGGCAGAACCTGGAGAGGGTAATGTAAGGCGTAAAGGTACAACTATAGTGAAGCCAATAGTATATGGTAACATAGCAAGGTACTTTGGTAAGAAAAGAGAAGATGACGGTCACACTCATGCCTGGACGTGTTACTTGAAACCCTTCAAGAGTGAGGACATGTCTTTCTTTATCAAGAAAGTACAATTCAAATTGCACGAGAGCTACCCCAATCCTCTCCGGATCCTCTCAAAGCCACCGTACGAGATACAAGAGACAGGATGGGGGGAGTTTGAAATTATCATCAAGATATTCTTCCAGGACCCGGCCGAGAAACCGGTGACAATCTATCACTTGTTGAAACTATTCCAATCGGACCCTGCTGTCATTGCTGGGAAGAAGAATGTAGTATCAGAACATTACGATGAGGTAGTATTCACAGACCCTACTAACACTATGTATGGATTACTAAGCAACCCACGGCCCATGATACCAGCAGTGAGACATGAGAGTGGCATAGATTATAGAGACATGGAAGAGCGACATCTTTCAGCTATAACTGCAGCACAGAAGAAGATAAAGCTTGAGATACAAGACCTCAGCGACAGATTAAAGATGACTAAAGAGTTAGTACAAAAATACCGTGAGCATTTGGAAGAGGCTGAAGAAGAGGAGGATATGGAAGAAAGGGACTGATTAATGCCAGCTTCTTTTTGTAATAATATCTGACTCTTTTTAATATAAACTTAAAATTTTTCATGTCACATTTCATTAATTTCACATGACCAAATCACTGAATAACAGTACAGTAGTCACTAGTCAAGTCAGCCACACCTATTTTAAGATGGTTGCAATGGAGTGCTCTCGTTTGAGGCTGTGGTTTTTCTGCCTCAAGTTACAGAAGTATGCAGACTACTACACAACATACATTTAAGAGGGTTCGGCCACCCTCGACCAATAAAGATCATGTACTGAATGCAAGTGAGTACAGCTCTAGTTTTTGTTGATATTTTTGTGGGTTCATCTTTGGTGGGCTGGATTGATTTTTCCATGATTGTGTACAATAAGTCATGTACAATGTACAATTTTGCTTTTACCTGAATAAAGTTTTTATATAATGTAACATGTGTGCATCTATTTGGGTTTCCCACAAGATAGTGGCATAGTGCTCATTTCCTGTCAGCGAGTTTGGGCAAAAAACCCTGTAGTACAGAAAAAGTAATTAGGAGAGAAATATTATTATGAGAGAATTTTTTAGTTTTATGGACATGTATAATATATGTTGTGTATAAACTGTGAGCTGATTCCAAACAAAATTTGGATGCATTATGAATTTTAAAGTTGCTCAAAAATTTGGCCAAAATTTCTGTACTATCATAAGTATGGGAATTTCAACCAGATTTTGTCAAAATAAAAAGAAGTACATTCTTCATTTCAATAATGCATATACATATTATTATGCTGTGTAGAAAGTTTGAACTAATGCCAATCAAGTTTGGATTTTTTACAAATTTTTAAAGTTGCTCACAATTTTTGTCAAAAATGAAAAGGAGAGAATTCTTAATTTTATTTTTTAGTATATATGCATGTACTTGCACTTATGTTGGAGTTTTTACAAATTTTTAATAATTATTTTAAAAATCAGGCCAATGACCAAGGCTTTGTGTTTAGCCTAGCAAATGACTAGGAGAGAATTTTTCATTTTTATTACATTTCATAATGCATAATACACTGTGTTTTTATGTTGTTTAGAAATTTGAAATTGATTTTGATCAAAATTAAATTTTTCTGAACTTTTGGAGTTGCTTCAAAATTTGACTGAAGTACCCTCTACTAAAGTGGGTAGGAGAAAATTGCTAGCTTCCATTATACTGTAGTACTGGTTTTATGAATGGTTAATTTTTTGAAGAAGCACATTATAATACTTGGCAATGTGATCAATGTACCATATAGTAGGAAATTTTGGAGGGACTAAAATTTGGTGATTTGCTAAATTTTAATTTTAATTTGGTAAATTTGTGGCCATGTGCCATTGAGCATATGTATAATGCCTCAAAGTTGCAGATTTTATTTTGGCGAATGGCTATCGAAAATGTTATCTTTGCCAAATTTAATTCCCTCTAAAATTTCCTGCTATACGGTGTAAAATCTTTCTACAGCAATTTTATTCTCAATGGCATGTGGCTGCTAATTTTGACTAATCCGCCTATTGTTATTTCTGCCAATACTTCCCACTACCAAATGTATATCTCTTACTAATGATTGTCTTCTGTCTAGACTAGTGCAGTCTTGACTGTCTTGTAGGCAGTAGCCTTACTTCAGCAGAATCAATCTCATTATTACTTTTTCATTTAAAGGTGTATGCAATGATTTGTGTTTGTGGGATTTCCTATCATTCGCATCTGTTTACTAATGCTAGTGATATGTCATGAATAGCATCATTACATTACTTGTAAATTGACTAGACTAGTTTACTTTGTCTAGTTTCCTAGAATATGATTTTACCTTACTGGATTTTGGTACTTTTAAAATTCAATTTTGATTTAGCTACAAAAATAGGCAGTTGTAAACTTTACAAAGTACCTATTAAATCATTTAGTAAGCCCATGTGACATCATGACATTTACCAATACCAGCCAGCCTGAGTTGTCTTGCTGTATCTGCTTGGCTCAGTTTGGTGACAGACTACAGGCTATCATTTTTAATGTGTTGGTCCTATTAAAAACCTAGTATAATCCATAGCACTGTATAGCTCTAAATTTTCATCGTCTAAAATTTATGTGATTTTCATAAAATTATAATAATCGTGAAAATTTTAATCACTAAGCACTACCAGTCACCATTGTAATAGCTGCACATGTTGGTTGATTCACAAAATTTTATTCGCTAAATCAGGAGCCCAAATCCATTTTAAAAGTAAAATCATGGAAATTTTAGACCACAAATTCATAGTTCCTATTACAGAGGCAGTCCTGATGTGGGCAGATGGGCTTGTTTATTTTTATTCATTATCACCTGTATACACTGACTGTGCAATAATGAATAGTGATGTGGCACCATGTCACCCCTCCCTTATAAAGACAGCCCTCCCTTATTGTTTACACAAGTTTATTTTCTTTAGTAACAGTTTCAATTAGTTCCAAGGTAACTGGAATCATGAATATTTTAGTCACTTTCATAATTCCATTCATTCACTGCTCATTTACATAAACATTCAGTTTAACGCAAATAATTTAATGACCTTTATGTTTAATGTTTTTGCATTGGTATATTAATACCCATTGATTTTAACAATTTTATTCATTAATTTTGATATGGTTTGTTATTTTTGTTCCATAGCTCTAAAGACACTATGTCACAAGTATTGCTAGCCTTACCCAAGAAGCTTCTTTTTGGGACTGGTCTGTTATCAAAATCCCTGACTCTCCAATGCATCAATGATGAGTTCCACTTAGAGAATCTAAAGGTAAAACTGAAAGGTACTGCTGATTATTTATATTTCTTAAGTTAATCTTTGTCAATGTACTTGCTCAGCCAACTGTTTATTAATGTTACTTACATGTACATAAAAGAGTTGTGAATTATTAATTTAGAGCAAGGTGTAATATTATAACAGGCTATGCAATTATCACTAGTTTTTAGTCTACATGTGTACATCATTATAAATCACCTTATAAATCACCTTATTACCATGTTATAGGTGCATGTATAGTGACTACAATTCAGTATAATTTTATTGCAATGGGGCTTAATCTGGATCTGTATGGAGCAACTTTAAAACCACTAAGTCTGATATTTGTTTGTTTATTTACTGTAGACAATTTTTATTCATGCTTTTTTATAGAAACAACTTGTTTCATGAAAGTAAAACTTCCTTGCTTGTAGTAATTACTGTACTTCTCTTTCATAACAATTCTATTATTGTTCATTATTATACTTGTATAACAATAGTCTTTTAAAATAGAGTAACTTGGAAAAATGATTATAGATTTAAGAGGAAAGGGCGATAATAACAAATTTATCCACTGTACATCACAAAAGTTTCTTTTCTCAATCTAGTTACTGTTTAATACAGCTACAAGTGGTGTCCTCTCATTGAGAGGCTCCTTGTTCATTGATACTGACACTTGTTCCTCTTGACTTTGTGTTGGTGATACAAATGAGACATTTAAACTGGCTCTGTAGAAATCAACATGAAATGTTAAGAAAAACAGGACAAATGTTAATCCTAAGCACCACTCTGATATAGTACTAGTCAAATGAAGAGGATAACCCTATATTTAATTAATAATAATTTGTTTAGCAATAAAGCCAGATTTACAATATGACGCTAGGCCAATGTAACGTCAATTTTTAATCAAAAGCATAGGCGATTTGACCTTTTCACGCATGCTTCACGCTGGAGTTGAACCAGATTCAACTTCTATGTCAACGTAACGTCAGGACTAGCGTCATATTGTAAATCCGGCTTAAAACTGTGACATACTGTAAGTGCATATACTAATGAATATAATCACCACCTCCCTTTATATAAACAATACAGGCCAGTTTTTACAGGTGTTTGACCCTATGACAGAATATTTTGCCAAGATCAGGCTTACAACAACACTGCTATCCCAATAAAAAGGATCATATTGACCTTCTTTGTGTACTCTTTGTTGCTCAGAAACTTTCATGGATATCAAACCTGATTGAAAGAGAGAAGGGTGAATGTGCTCTTAATCTATTGATGTTAATTTATACCAATTATAGAAATGATAACTGCCATTAGAGAAATAATGAGTCTACCAAAAATATTAACTTTGTCAATACGTCTTGTCAATCCAGTATGATATATTTTATATGATACCAATGTCTGGAACCACATGTGCAATATACCAAAAATCCATAAGGTAAAAGCTCCAATCATATGAACTTTGGCATTAACGTTGTGATCCTAAAAATGGGTGCATATGATTAAGATCTGAATTGCTGCAATGTGCATATACTTGAAAAGATCCAACTAGTAAAAGTCCAAATACTGAAACAGCTCCAATAAAAAATGTGAACTGATTTAAAAATTTTATTCTATTGATATCCTTTTGATAGTATTGCTTTACTTGTATATATCTAATATATATTATTAGCAGCCCTGAAGAGAGAGAGAGAAATGACTAATGGTGGGACACATAGGGCTTCTGAGTAACCCAGAATGGCACCAACTGCATGCAAAGGAGTTACTTAACTTAAATTTTGAACCATATTTATTTTTAGAAACTTAAGAAGTTACTTCAATATTGGCAAAACCCAAGGACTAGATTTATACTCCATAATTTAAATTACCAAATTTTACACTTTGCATAGCAAAAGATTCCCTGCTTACCCTTCTCCTTCATGCAACAGAATTAAAACTTAAAAAGAAATCAATGTAAAATATACACTTAGTATATACTCACAGATTATGGATGAAATGCTGCAAATTAGTGTAAAGATGCAGCTCTCTGGTGGTTTTCCTCCTGTATTGCTTATGTATGGAAAAAAGGGCGTAAGGTGTCCATAATATGCTGCTAAAATATATCTAAAAAAGAGAGGGAAAAGATGAGAGCTAAAGGCTGGTTTCCATACACAGCTCCTACAACAGCCTTACAACACTGTTGCAACAATTGTGGAGCTAGAAATCAGATCTGTCTTTACAGCAATTGTATGCTAACCACAGAATACAGCAGCCACAGCTACATGTATATGGAAACCAGGCTTAATGATACCATAATGGAGTCAAGACTGATATGATGCCAACCAAAAATTATTTTCCAATCACTAAATGACAAATATACTATTACACTTATATGAATAGACTATGCATGCTGATATGAATAGACTATGCATGCTGATACATTTGTCTGTGCCTCTACTGGTATTCTCATGGTTCAGTGTGGTCTTACGTGATAATGAATCCAATGCATTGAATCACAGCTACAATGACAACAAGTAACTCCAGGCCACATCCAAATCTCATGATGGTTACTATATATGACAACAGAGAAGAAGAGGCATACAGCAGCAATGCAGCATACACAAAAGAAGAAGAACTGAGCAATGTGTGATGAACCACAAGTCAGGCAGCTAGAGTGGTTAATTTAATTGGTTATAAAGTTCAATGATCAAGATTCTAAAGGGCTCCATGCATAAATAAGTTCCTTATGTAGAACCTAATCAGATCCATCTAATTTCAGCTGGTTAACTGTCCTTGTAGTAGAGTAAAAGGCTGATTATGCTCAATAAACAATGCTAAAGCGTTGCTCATGAAAATGTCATGATTACAATTATGCACACAACCGTTTTCGTTGATCAGTCATTACAAATATTGTATCTCTCAATTTCTCAAAAGCAACAGTCTTTTACAATAGAAACTTTTAAGAGGAATGGACAAAATTATTAAAAAACAAAATTAAAGAAATTAATGCAGTGTATCTACATTGCAACTAAAATCTTTTGACTAATCTACTGTTCAGTACAGCTATCAGTGGTGTTCTCTTGTTCCCTTGACTTTGTGCTGATGACACAAATGAGACAGTTAATATTTTTAAAATAATTTTTCCTGATGCATATACATGTACTTACATGTACATTATGTATGTTGTGTAGAAAGTTTGAACTAATTCCGATTAAGTTTGGATTTTTTAATGCCAAGTTTCAAAAAATCAGACCAACAACCAAAGGCTATAGCCTTTGGTCTTTAGCCAAATTTTATAACAAATGACTGGAGAGAATTCTCATTTTTATTGCATTTTCTAATACATATACATGTACATTGTGTTTTTATACTTTTGTTAATAATGGTTTTCATCTGTCTAGACTAGTGCAGTCTTGACTGTCTGGTAGCCTTACTTTAGCAGTTTAGCCTTTCTTTAAAGGTGTATGTAATGGTTTGTGTTTGTGGGATTTCCTATCATTTGCATCTGTTTACTAATGCTAGCGATGTCATGACTAGCATCATTACATATTACTTGTGAATTGACTATTACTAGACTAGACTAGTTTACTTTGTATGGTTTCCTATAAATATGATTTTACCTTTAGTTGTTGTACTGGTCGCTGGTGCTTTTATAATTCAATTTTGATTTTTAGTTAAATGTAATATTAGCAAAAATAGGAACAAAATCAATTGTGAAATTCACAAAGTACTTACATGCATTAAAGCACTTACAGTGAGCCCGTGTGACATCATGACATTTACCAAGACCAGCTTGGCTGAGCTGTCTTGCTGTACAAAACTAAGCTGCCTGGTTTGGCTTGGCTTGGTTTGGTGACAGATTACACTATTATTTTCAAACTGCGCTGGCCCTGTTAAAAACCTACATAACCTGTAGTACTGTATAGCTTCAAATTTCCATGGTCTAAAAATTTTGTGATTTTCATGAGATTATATAATTTTAATCACTAAGCACTACCAGTCACCATTGTAACAGCTGCACATGTGGGTTAATTCCAAATTTTTATTTGCTAAATCCAATTTTTAATAAAATCATGGAAATTTTAGACAACAAAAATACATAGTTCCTATTACGGAAGCGGTCCTGATGCCAGCAGTTAGGTTTCTTCATTTTTTCATTATCACCTTTATACACTGACTGTGACTGTACAAATACAATATTGAATAGTGATGACGCACCATGTGGCCCTTCCCTTATAGAGACTAGTCTCCCTTATTGTTTACACGAGCTCTTTTTTACTTTAGTGACGGTTTTAATCAGCCGTTTAGTACAATTGTATTTTAAGGAAATGGAAAATTATAATTTTTAAGTCACTTCTATAATTCCATTCATCCATTATTCATTTATAGTTTAGGCTCTCATTTTGAGTTGTGTGCTGTAAGCAATTTAACGACCTTTATGTTTAACATTTTGCAGTGAAGGGTATATTAGCGTTCATTAATTTTAATGATTTTTACAACTAAAGAAACCAATTGCACATTGACAATCAAATTTACATCCAATAACTTAACAAAATTAGGCCAATGGTATAAAATGAATAAAATTAATGGATAGTAATTATCAATAGGTCTTACCAATATTTTGTGCATGACTGTGTGTGATTAATTTATTCATTATTTTGATGTGGGTTATTTTTGTTTTATAGCTCAAAAGACACTTTACGGCACAAACCTTCAACTAACCTTGCTAAAGAAGCTTCTTTTCGGGACTGGTCTGTTATCAAAATCCCTGACTCTCCAATGCATTAATGATTAGATCCACTGAGAGAATCTTAAGGTTAAAAATGAAAGGTAGCTACTGCTGATTATTTATGCTTCTTAAGCTAATCTTTGTCAATGTATACTTGCTCAGCCAACTGTCTAAAGAGTTGTGAATTAATAATTCTAGGGCAATGTTTAATAATGTGAGGACTTTCTATAACAGGGTCTACATGTGTACATCATGTCAAATCACCTTTTTATTATGTTATAGGCACATGTATAGGGACTAAAATTTATTGCAATGAGGCTTAATCTGGACTTGTCTGGAGCGGCAACTTTAAAGATATTAAGTCCAATAAAAATAAGTATGGTGCTCCTCTGAGATCATGTTGTTAAGAGACCAGATTAATTTGGAGGCTGGAGCATTTGTGAGCAGAATTTTATATCTTTTGTTTATTTACTTTAAACAATTCTTATGCATGCTTTTTTGTAAAACAGCTTATTTCATGAAACTGAAACTTTATTGCTTATACAATGTAGTACTTACTATACTTCTCTTTCATAATAATCTTATTATCAATTAATCAAATTGGTCATTATTTTAGTTGTATAACAATAGCCTTTTGAAATAGAGTAACTTTTAAATATTGTTAAGGATCTATAAGAAAAGAGCAATAATAACAAAAGTATCTAATGTACATCAAAAAGTTTCTTTGCCCTGTCTAGTTACTGTCCAATACAGCTACAAGTGGTGTCCTCTCATTGAGAGGTTCCTGATCCAATGATACTAACACTTGTTCCTCTTGACTTTGTGCTGGTGATACAAATGAGACAGTTAAACTGGCTCTGTAGAAATCAACATGAAATGTTAAGAAAAACATGACAAATGTCAATCCTAAGCACCACTCTGACATAGTACTGGTCAAATGAAGAGGATAGCCCTATACATGTAATTAATAATAATTTCTTAGCAATAGAAATGCATTTATATTTATGCATGCCTTAATGTGCACTCCAATACCTGTAAGTACATAGACTAATATGATTACTAAGTACCTTGCCACCAGTTTTGAAGCCTCACGCCACTTACCCTTAAGTAAACAATACAGGTCATTTGCAGGTGTTTGACTACCTCACTGTCGGTTTTAATATATATTTTAAATCTGAATATTTGAGGTGAATTGTTGGTTTCCTGTTGGCACATTAAAATTATAGTCATGCATTTGACCAAACAAGATTAATCACACATTTCACTATGCATTCTGCCCTGCCTAAATGTACATGTAGATAGTCTGTTGCCAAAATCACTTACAACAACACTGCTATCCCAATAAAAAGGATCATATTGACCTTCTTTGTGTACTCTTTGTTGCTCAGAAACTTTCATGGATACCAAACCTAATTGAAAGAGAGAAGGAAAGTGAGTTTTTTATCTAATCTGCTAATTCATACCAATTATAGAAATGACGACTGCCGTTAGTGAAATAATGAGTCTAACAAAAATAGTAACTCTGTGAATACGTTGTTTCAAACCAATGCGGTATATTTTATAGGACACCAATGTCTGAAACCACATGTGCAATATACCAAAAATCCAAAAAATAAAAGTTCCAGCCATATGAGCTTTGGCAGCTGTATAATCCTAGAAATGGGTTGCATAATTATAATTAGGATAAATTTATGTTGTTGTCTATACTTGAAAAGCTCCAACTAGTAAAAGTCCAAATACTGTAACAGCTCCAAGAAAAGATGTGAACCAATTTAAAATTTGTAATTTATTGACACCCCACTTTTGATAGTATTGCTTTACTTGTACGTATCTAATATATATTATTAACAGCCCTGAGAGAGAGAGAGAGAAATGATAGACACTAGTAGGGCCTTTGAGAGGTTGCATTGAAAAGGGGTAGACAGAATTGGGCCCACAGCATGCAAAGCAGTCAATTTTATGGACATTTTAAAAGTCACTGCAAAAACCAACTGAGAGCTAGATTCTATTAATTTTTAATTTGGAAAGTAAGAAACTTCCTGCACATATTCCCCTCTCTCGACTGAATCACAGTAAATTTAGAAAGAAATCAAGGTAAAAGATTGTAGACTTATACTCACAGATTATGGATGAGATGCTGCAAATTAGTGTAAAGATGCAACTCTCTGGTGGTTTTCCTCCTGTATTGCTTATATATGGAAAAAAGGGTGTAAGGTGTCCATAATATACTGCTAAAATATATCTGAAAGAGAGAGAAAAAATGAGAGCTAATGGTGCCATAATTGATGAAACAGACAAGTAAAATGATAATATCAAAAGCAAAGAATGATAATGGTGCCAACCAAATTGATTTCCAGTCACTCAATGACAAATACTATTACACTTATAGACTATACATGCTGATACATTTGTCTGTACCTCTACTGGTACTTTCATCTAGAACATGGTTCAGTGTGATCTTACGTGATAATGAATCCAATGCATTGAATCACAGCTACAATGACAACAAGTAGCTCCAGACCGCATCCAAATTTCATGATGGTTACTATATAGGACAACAGAGAAGAAGAGGCATACAGTAGCAGAAGATTGCATACACAAGAGAAGAAAAACTTAGCAATGTGTGATGAACCACAAGTCCTGAATTTATGTCATCAGACAGAGTGGTTAATTCAATAATGAAATTTAATTGGTTATAAAGTTCAATGATCAAGACTGTAGTTTTTTGGATAGTTTTAGTATAGCTTAGTATGTTTATGAAACCCAATTCAAAAGAAGATTCCATGCATAGGTAACTAGGTTCCCCCAGCTTCTTATCATTTAGATCTAGAATCAAATTAGATCTATCTACACATTTATTTCTAATTTCAGGTTATGAGGTTAACTGTCTTTGTTTAGTAGAGTAAAAGGCTGATTGTGCTCAATAAACTGTTTGATGTAGATCTAGATCCATCATTGCTCATGAAAATATCATGATTATTATTAGATCTAATAATTAACATTCAAAAGCTATAGTTTTTAAATAGAGACTTTTAAAATATAAAGAGGAAGCGACAATTGAAATTATTAAAATAACAAAAGTAAAGAATGCAGTTTACATCTACTGATCTACATTACAATTAAATTAACATTGAATCTTTTGACCAATTTATTGTTCAGTACAGCTATTAGTGGTGTCCTCTTGTTCCTCTTGACTTTGTGCTGGTGATACAAATGAGACAGTTAAACTGGCTCTGTAGAAATCAACATGAAATGTTAAGAAAAACAGGACAAATGTCAATCCTAAGCACCACTCTGATATAGTACTGGTCAAATGAAGAGGATAACCCTACATGTAATCAATAATAATCAATACAATTCAATTAAAGGGATTTATGCATGTGTAGTTTGAAGTTTACTCTTGCCTATATTATAAATGCACAGAAAAGTAAAGAATTGATGAGGTCATAAGGATGTGAGTGAGAGAAAGAGAGACCAATGGAAAAGGACTACACCACATTATAAGAGTTATAACTACTTTGCTAATGTGCATAGAATCATTCATTAATACATAAACAATGTTTAGTGCAGGTCATTTACAAAACTAAGCTAGGCATTGGCGGTTTTAAAATACATTTTTAATTCCATGACTTACACCACACTACATTAGGCACTGTATATAGCTAAGTTGATTAGTTTTCTGTTGTTGGCTTGGTAATTAAACCTAACTCGGCAAATTTTGGATTTTTTATTTACTGAACAAAAAATGTTATTATTTAGAAATAATACATGTACAAACATCTTGCCAACTCTCCTTTATTCCTGACTACATTGCAACTGCATGGTTTGTGGCAGTTGGTTGATGGTCATGTGATCACTATATATTTTTACTGACCATACAACCCCAGCCAAATGCAGTCTATTATCATAAAGTCTTTTGCCAAGATCACTTACAGCAGCACTACTATTCCAGTAGTAAGGATCATATTGGCCTTCTTTGTGTCCTCTTTGTTGCTCAGAAACTTCCAAGGATACCAAACCTAATTGAAAAAGAGAAGTGAAATTGTGCTCTCAATCTAATCTGCTAATTCATACAATTTATAGAAATGATAACTGCCGTTAGAGAAATAATGAGTCTAACAAAAATATTAGCTCTGTCAATACATCTGGTCAAACCAGTGTCATATATTTTATATGATACTAATGTCTGGAACAACATGTGCAATATACCAATACTCCATACAATAAAACTTGCAACCATATGAGCATTTGAAAATGTATAATCCTAAAATAAGCATGTACACATAATTAGGAATTATATTGCTGTCCATACTTGAAAAGCTCCAACTAGTAAAAGTCCAAATACTTAAACAGCTCCAATAAAAAATGTGAACCAATTTAAAAATTCTATTTTATTGATACCCTTTTGATAGTATTGCTTTACTTGTAGATCTATATATCTAATATATATTATTAGCAGCCCTGAGAGAGAGAGAGAGAGCGGAGAGAGAAAAGTGACAATATATAAAGTGATACAATAATTATGTTATAGACCTAGCTCACAGATTATAGATGAATTAGTGTAAAGATGCAGCTCTCTGGTTGTTTTCCTCATGTATTGTTTAATTATGGAAAAAAGGGTGTAAGGTGTCTATAATGTGCTGCTAGAATATATCTAAAAGATAGAGGAAAGGTGAGAGCTAAAGGCTGGTTTCCATACACAACTCCTACAACAGCCTTACAACACTGTTGCAACAATTGTGGACATAGAAATCAGATTTATCTCTACAACAATTACATGCTAATGGAGTCAAGACTGATATAGTACTGCCAACCAAAAATTAACTTCCAGTCGCTCAATGACAAATATACTATTATAAGTGTATAACAAAATATACTATTATAAATGTATTTTTATACACTTACATGAATAAACGATACATGCTGATACATTTGTCTGTGCCTCTACTGGTACTCTTATGTAGGTCATGTTTCAGTGTGGTTTTACATGATGATGAATTTAATGCATTGAATCACAACTACAATGACAACAAGTAACTCCAGACCGCTTCCAAATCTCATCATGGCTACTATATATGACAACAGAGAAGAAGAGGCATACAGCAGCAGAAGATTGCATACACAAAAGAAGAAAAAACTTAGTTAGCAATGTGTGATGAACCACAAGTCCTGAATTATGTCATCAGGTAGAGTGGTTAATTTAGTTGGTTATAAAGCTCAATGGTCAAGACTGCACTGGAGGATTGCATAAAGATAGGTTCCTTATCTAGAACCTAATCAGATCTATCTAATTTTAGGTTAACTGTCTTTGTAGTAGAGTAAGAGGCTGATTATGCTCAATGCAAGCAATGCTAGTCAAATGTTGCTCATGAAAAATGCCATGGTTACTTATCAAATAATTACATTATGCACACAAGCATTTTCGTCATTACTAATAATGTATTCTCTCATTTCTCAACAGTACTAGCTTTTATTACAAAAGAAGTTTTAAGATATAAAGAGGAAGGGACGAAATTATTAAAATAACAAAATTGAAGAAATTAATGCAGTGTATTTTACATCACAACTAAAATCTTTTGACCAATCTACTGTTCAGTACAGCTATCAGTGGTGTCCGCTTGTTCCTCTTGACTTTGTGCTGGTGATACAAATGAGACAGTTAAACTGGCTCTGTAGAAATCAACATGAAATGTTAAGAAGAACATGACAAATGTTAATCCTAAGCACCACTCTGATATAGTACTGGTCAAATGAAGAGGATAACCCTATACATTATAATCAATAATAATCAATACAATTCAATTAAAAAAACTTCGTGCATGTCTTGTGTAATTTGAAGTGTATCATGCTTATATAAATGCAATTCTGATGACAAATATTTCTTTTGCAAAGAAAAAGTAAAAGATTGATTAGGATAAATGAGAGAAAAACAGAAAGACAAGTACACCATATTATAAAAGTTATAACTATCTATTTTAAAAACAATTTTATAGTATAGTTTGGTTAATGCATTCGCGAATAATAACTAACTGGACAAAAATTAGGATTTTTATCTGCTGAATATGCATGTTTTCAGTAGGAACATTGCATGTACAAACATCTTGCCAACTCTCCTTTTTTCCTATACCTACCCTAATTGCAACTGGTTTTTGGCAGTCATAGCTATTGGCTATGTTGCTACTGAAAGTATAATCCCAGCCAAATGCATGCAGTCTAATTATCAGAGCTAGAGTATTTTGCTCACTTACAACAACACTACTATCCCAGTAAAATGGATCATATTGTCCTTCCTTGTGTACTCTTTGCAGCTCAGAAATTTTCATGGATATCAAACCTAATTGAAGGAGAGAAGGGTGAATGTGCATGCTCTTAAGGTGGGTATCCACTATGCAAATTTGTTGCCAGTGCCTTTGGTTTGCTTGGGCAACATGTTGCATGAAGCAGAGAGACTCTCTACTTCATGCAACATGTTGACCAATCATCAAAGGTTTAACTACAAGTTGAAAGCAACACAATGCTGCATAGTGGATCAGCGCCCACCTTTAATCTAAATCAATGTTAATTCATACAATTTATAGAAATGATGAGTGCCATTAGAGAAATAATGAGTCTAACAAAAATATTAACTCTGTCAATACATCTGGTCAAACCAGTGTGATATATTTTATATGATACCAATGTCTGGAACCACATGTGCAATATACCAAAAATCCATAAGATAACACTTGCAACCATATGAGCACTTTCAAATGTATAATCCTACGGGCACACATAATTAGGAATTATATTGCTGTTCATACTTGAAAAGCTCCAACTAGTAAAAGTCCAAATACAGAAACAGCTCCAATACAAAATGTGAATCGATTTAAAATTTCTATTTTATTAATACCCTTTTGATAGTATTGCTTTACTTGTACATATCTAATGTAGATTATGAGCAGCCCTAAGAGAGAGAGCAGTGATAGAAAAGTGATACAATAATGTTATAGACCTACTCACAGATAATGGATGAAATGCTGCAAATTAGTGTAAAAATGCAACTCTCTGGTGGTTTTCCTCCTGTCATGCTTATATATGGAAAAAAGGGCGTAAGGTGTCCGTAATATACTGCTAAAATATATCTTAATTATAAAGAGAGAAAAGCCATTATTCTCATTATTGATGAAATTAGACTAGATCTAGTAATGTCAACATGACTAAAGACTCAGGCATAATTATTATGGTGCCAACTAAAAATTAATTTCCAGTAATTTACATGACTTAATGATGACAGATGCTATTACACTTATCTATACTAACAGGCTAGGCATACTGCTGTATTTGCCTCTGCTTAAGTTTACATGTACTCCTTGTGGTCTTACGTGATAATGAATCCAATGCATTGAATCACAGCTACAATGACAACAAGTAACTCGAACCCGAGCTCCAGACTGCATTCAAATTTCATGATCATTGAAATATCATGACATAAGACAATGAGAGGTAGGCACTAGACAGCAACAAAAGAACACATCAAGTTGTAAAGATGATTATCGGAATTTTTAATAAGACGATAATAAATGAGCATGACCACACCTATTAGGCGACATGTGTTCTTCTCTTAATCTTCATGGCTCTTCATTCAGTTGGACAAGTCTCAAAAGTATATCCACGCACATAAAATGTATTTGAAATTATTAATTATATATATTTTCCTTAGAATTCAAAACTTGAGTCTCGCGTACAGCAACTGATGGATTGGAGTTCTCGTCGTTCAATCATCACTCTATCATCACAGAAATTCAATACATTATAACGGTTAAGAGCCGTCCCAGGAACTATTCTATCATTGCTATGCTCACTGCTCTGAAACCACAAAGACAGCGTACTGTAT